AATTATTGGCATGCAGTAGTATATAAAGTTAGCACAGCACATAGATAGGACCACATGAAAAAAAATTAGGACAGAGAGAGTATCCGAAATATTCTGAGGCTGGAGAATAAGTACTTAATTGAGCCTTATTATAAAATATGAGAAAGTCCACATCCCAGGGAGGAAGTAAATACATAGTCTTCTTCCTAGGATACAGGTTAGAGCAACAAGGCTTTAAGCCAGTGACAAGCATCCAGTCATCCCCACCCACCAACCCTGAGCAGGTGCTTGGGTATCATTTCGAAATTATTTCATACAATATTTGTATCTTAAGGTCCAGCAGAAATTGTTTTGTAGGAAGCAAACGAAATGCAGGAATAAAACAACAACAATCAGGATGTGTAAATATGGTATGGCATGCAGAATGGCCCCACAGATATCCATTCATTAATGTGTAAAAAAATGTGAATATGAGACAACTACAGAAAAAGGGATTTTTTACACATGACTGAAGTTGGAAAGGTAACCCTGGATGATCATGTTGATCCAGCCTAAGCCTATGAGCAGAAAACTTTCTCTAGCTGTTAGCACAAGAAGAAAAGGAAATGCAGCAGAAGGACCCAAGATCTATACCATTCAAGGGTCTCCACCATTCACTTGTGGAGAGGCCACCAGGAAAGGAGAAGGAATAGGGGAACATTTAGAGCTGAGAGACCTGCCACACCACTGGAGGCCACAGACCTACAACTGCAAGGAGTGACAGTTGTCCAGTCCAAAGTGAGTAGTACAGGAGAGGTGGCAGAGCAGTTCTGTCTAGCGGCATCTGAAACCACTCCCACTACCCTGAGGATGAGAGTGGCTGGCTAGTCCTGAATGAACAGTTTGTAAAATTAGGGTGGTTGACACTCAACACCTCTTTCCTTCTGGAAATCCATTTTGTTTATGTGCGAGGCAGAGGTTTCCAATATGACTTGTTCCCCCAAAATGATAATGACCTTCCCTGGAGGTCAGATTTCATTACCCACTTACAGAGGAATGAAGTACTTCCAGTGGGCCACAAGAAAAGAGGACTATCAGAAGCTCATCTGGTCTCAGGCTCCTGCCCCAGGTGCTTCTTGCCTTTATTAACTTTGGTTTGTGCTCCGAGCTGCAGTAAATCAGACCCAAGGATAGGACCATATGTTGAGCCCTGGAATCCCTCCCAGTGAAGCAGTGAACCTGGGAAAGGTTCTAGGGCTTGAGAAATAACTCTTCTCCAGAGCCTCAGCAAAAGAAACAGGCAAGCAAAACAACCAGCCCTGCTGACATCTACACATAGAATTCACCAACATTCACCCAGACATTAGACCTATGTCAACTATGACCTAATAATTGTGTTTTGTATGAAACCACTGACTGTAGGTCACTGTAACAGCAGCAAAAGAAAACCAATTCAATGACAATATTAACAAATGCATATTTTTCTCACTGATAAAAAGTGTAACTAATACAAAGAAATTTTTTTTTTTTTTTGGTACCAGGGATTGAATTCAGGGGCACTTGACCCCTGAGCCACATCTCCAGCCCCATTTTTTTATTTTATTTAGAGACAGGGTCTCACTGAGTTGCTTAGCACCTCACTTTTGCTGAGGCTGGCTTTGAACTTACAGTCCTTCTGCCTCAGCCTCCCAAGCCACTGGAATTACAGGAGTGTGCCACCACTCCCAGCACAAGGAATTTTTTTTAATGGTAAATTTTCAATGGTAAATTTGCCAGCAGATTCAGTGTCTGGGGAAGCCCTGCACCTCAATGAAAGTGTGCCCTCCTGCAGAGTTGGAAGGGAAAGAACCCAGAGAGTTAATCCAGCTTTTTTATAAGGCATTAATCCCACTCTTGAGGGCAGAACCATTGTGATTTAACACCTAAAGTCCCCACCTGGTGATACTGGTAGCTGGGAGGCAGGGGCTTTTAGAGACTACCTAAGCTTGGTGGGGTAGGGAAAGGAGAGCGCTGCCTGCAAAACTATTAAGTTGCCTTCAGAGTTGTTTTGTTCCAAATAAGGCTCTCCAGAGACACCCATTAGAAACCAGCCTAAATCACAGAGTAACTGACTCCTTGCCCTTACAGGTGACCTAGGGTAAACTTTGTTCCTTATAATATTAACTTCTCTGCCCAGGAGGCATTACCAGAAATGTTTTAAGAAGCACAATCTCTGAAGGAACATGCTCAAGAATAGCCCACTCGAGCATGTGAGTTTTCCCAGCAAAAGCCTCTTTCCTCCTTTGGGGAGGTGCTGCTGTGGGAGCTATCCTGAGTGCTCTCTAGACATGATGCAAGTGATAAATCTTCCTTCAGTCTTCTATCTCCTGGTGTGCTTACTGGTTTTACATTCACCAAAGAGTGAACCCATTGCTTTAGTTTAGACCATAACTTTGATTCTTATCTCCAAATATAGGGATAGGGGACTATACCATCAAACGATAGCCAAGAGGATCAAGCATCTGTCTTAAAGAAGCTCAAAATACAGGCAAGGAGAAAAACTACACTTGGATTCTAAGACAAATAAAGTTGAGGCAAATATCAAGAGAAAGGCAGAATAGGAGGGGTCTTAATTGGGTCTGGGGATCAATAATGATAGGTTTTACCCATCTCTTAATTCAGCAAACATTTTATTACCAAGCACACTCCATGCAGTGCTGGGGATGTAGGGAGCAAAGTTAGGGTCTCTGGGTAAGCTCCCTGGGAGCAAGAGCAGCCAGCTCCTGACACCACTCTACACACAGCCTAAACACACAGTGCTGGCCAAGAACAGAGGTGGGAAACACCATCCTCACACATATGGTCTGGTATTAATAATCCTCCCCATTTTTATTTTTAAAAATCATTTAATAGGAAGCATTTGAAAATCGAAATATTTTCATGTGCTTACTAAATCATTATCAACTTTTTATAATTTTGAGAACATCAAAAAAGAAAAAGAATGCAGGGTACTTGGTCAATATACTGTCACCTAAAATTAATTATATTTTCAGATTTATTCTTTTCATCATATATGGCAATTATACTTCACATAATTTTTTTAAAAAATCAACTTCCAAAATCAATCCCAATTTTCAATGGATTCTGAAATATGAATCCAAATTATGATTACAGAAGTTAATCCATTAATTCAAGAAGCATTTACAGAGGAACCACCATGAATGGAAATATTCTTGACACTATTTCTCCCAGGGCACCTGACCTGAAATCAAAATGGCACATGGTGACACTTAGATGTGGCTTCCCTCTGGCTTAAGTGAAAAATAAGAATTTTCACCATTTCTCAGTCATTTAATTGCGTGGTGGGGTTAAAAACACAATCCTGATTTAATGTAACAAAGAATTAGCATGCATTAGCTATTACTTATCTAAGATGAAAAAGCTGTATTTAGTTTTCTATATTCACAGATTCTTCATTAAGTTTTAACTCTTGCTCCTTTTTTTCCCACCCAGTGCAGGCAACAATTAAACCCAGGGCCTCAAACATGTTAAGTTCTACCACTAAGTTATGTCCCCAACCATGTTACTCATTCCTAATCAATGTTCATCTCAAACCTGCCATGGACTTGGTTTTCTTTGAATTAGCTCAACATTAATATCTACTTCTAATCATATACCTGGCATTTGTTTCAAGGCCAGTAGCAAAATTTCTTACAAATCCCACCCTGTTGTGCTCTTTCATCTATTGTTAGAGAACTAGTTCTTGATTCAATTAACACCAACATTTATTGCAAGCTAATAAGAGTTTCTGAGATATTTCCATATAATAAGTAACAGAGTTTTATAATTCTACTAAGGGCAATTTGTTACCCCAGGATTATGATCATTCTGGCCTTCTAGCCTTATCATAAGCAAAGTGCTAAGAAGTAGTGGCTTTTAAGCTAACATCTTTCCTCTTGCCATGGAGATTGAGGGGGAAAGTTATCCAATATTCTTAGCCTGTATTAAACAAACCTAAACTATGCATCTTGTTACTGTAGCAAATTATACATTATCATAAACTTCACCACTTTAGCTGTTTTCAACCTCCAGTTCTGCTGCATGACTCCATTCACCCTGCTCTGTAACTGTCTCCTTCACCCATTTCCAGAACTTTCTCATCTTCCCAAACAAAAACTCTGTATTCACTTAACACTATCTGTCCCTTCTCCCATCACCCAGCCCCTGGCAACCACCTAAACTGTATTTTCAATAAAAAGCAATTTCTTCTGCCTCTGACAAACCTTCCTTAGTCCACACTGCACTGGGTGTTCCACAAACCAGGTACAGGTATCGTGTTGAGAGCTCCAACACTCTCCCTTTAGAGCCTGTCTTTCAGAGCACAGGGTGACTAACCTAGTAAGTACTAAGTCTATAATAAACTAGAGCTACTGGAATAATCAAAAAGTTAAGCAAACAAAATTTAAATCCTCTAAAAGGAGCATGGACATGTACACAGAAATTTTAAAAAATATATGGCACTTATATCATTTTAAATAACTGAAAATAGCTTTGATTTACAGTAATCTCAAATAGTCCTACAGGCCACGAATGACAAGGGCCACCTAGGTTCCTGAACACATGCTCCATAGGGAGATTCTCCATTATATGTATTTTTAAGTGTTCTGCTTATTGGAAACCTCAGTTTATCAGAGGTCACAGAAGAATGAATTTATTGGATTTAATGATGCTAAGACAATGTAAATTCCTGTGTAACTGAACAAGAATAAAAATGGATTGTATGTGACTTCTGGATTCTTAGACTTTACATGACTTAAAGGAATAATGAGATGACATTCTCAGTATTTAGCTGGATTACAAACCTGTTCTCCTTTTACTTATTTCATTAATTAAACATGGGCAATGTGTTTTTTAAAGCCACTGTGTCTTTCATGCACTTGAAAGCTTGTTCAAATGCTTTTGGAGGCTCTATTTCTGTAGTTGGTATGATAGATTGCACCAACCCATAGCAACTGGCAAAATTTATACTCTGACAGACCATATTTCCGAACAGAGGAACATACCCAGAAGCTTTCTTCTCGTCGATACTGTTTCCAGTTCCTCCCGCTGTCACTGAACATCAGAAGGTAGCTGGTCACCCAGTCGGAGCTCCCATATCCTCCCTGGGTGGCCACTGCCGTGACCTTCATTCTCTCTCCAAGGTCAATCTGCAGCCACTGGTATTTATTTGACACAAGTGGAGTCCAGCCACCAGCTCCTTTTCGTGGAAATGGAGATAAGAAAAATGTATATTTAAAATCCAGCATTTTGCCTCATTGCACCCCTGAAAGCAAGATGAGTCCCTAGCAGCTCTAGTGGAGGCATTAGTAAAATTCAACCAGGGTTCTCACTCTGATCTGGAAATAATAGCTTCAATATGTGGCACCACATACTGAACACAAGGAATTTAGGCTTCATTAAGTTGGACTAAGTGAACTTCCTTGAATGGATTATCCCAGCACATCAACCCAGTGAAAGAAAGCACACTAGCTCTTTGTACTTCAAATAAAAATTTTAAAAAGTTTATTATGTTTAAAATATTTATGTTTTAAATATTTAAACATTTAAAATGTTTAAATTAAACATCAATTAAACATAAAAATCATTATTTCAAACTATAGAATATATACTATCTCATAGTTATACACACAATAAAGAACACAGGAAGGGTGATCTCTGGCTCTCAAGTGTTCACTAGTTCATTGCTAATCTGGGTAGAAACTGAAAGAATCAACTCAACACAGATTTGGACAGCACATCAAGGTTCCCTGGAACTCTTGCCTTTACTGGCCTTTATGCATGATTTCCCCTTTACTGGGCATGAAGAAAAATATCCATACTATAGTACAACTAGAAAACCTTAATCCTGGATCCCCAGTATCAGGAAGCAGTGCTGAAGGCTGGGATAGTAAGATGGTTATGGCGTGAAGCACTCAGGTGCTTGCAGATTCATAGAACAAATAGATATCTCAAGAACAATTTGAAATAAAGTGCAGTGGAGGGTGGATGATGCAGAAGTGGAGGAGAATTCTATGCAGAAGAGTTCTGAGGGGCGAGTCGGGAAGGTTAGAGAGAGCCCCACATAGCAAGTGATACCTTTACTGTCTGGAAGGACAAAGAATTTCCCAGTCATTCAAGACAACAGAGCAGAAAAGAAATGATTGTGCTTTGTTGTGTCTAATGCCTATCAAAATAGAAAATTAGGGGTGCCTGAGGATATACTATTGATGTATTTTGTTCTTGCAGTTTAACATAAATATGAGGTGTGCACAACTGTACATAATCATCACCAAGGACTTGGTCCAGGACCCCCTTGGATACCAAATTCCAAGTACATTATATAAAATGATGTAGTATTTGCATACAAACTACCTTCTATGTCCTTTAAGTCCTCTATATCCTTTAAATCATCTCTATATTCCCTGCAATACCTAATATAATACAATGCTATATACACAGCTATGATACAGTATCATTGGGAGGAAATCACAAGAAAAAAAATGTGTCATATTCAGAATTATTTTTGTTTTTGTTTTTGTTTTTTTTTTTTTTTTGATTGGAGGTTGCTTGAATCTATAGTTGAGGAACCCATGTACTTAGATTTATATTTTTCTTATTGGGTTTTCTGATTTTCAAATTAATATGTAATTAAGAAAATTTGGAAATAAGCTTTAAAATCATTATCTTTATAATAATATCTAGAAAATGGCAATATCTTGTCAATGATCCCTAATGGGGAAAAAAATGCTTTTTTTTCCTAACTTTCTCCCAATACTCATTCCTAAGTCAAGGCTCTAATAGTATTGTCTGACAGTTTTTAACTGCATACATTGTTAAATTTTTTTTTAGATGTGTCAGCTCATTATACACTAGATTTGCTTAGGAGGCAGGAGTTGGGATGATCTGATACCTGCATCAGGACTCCTGGAGGTACAGGTGGGAACATTCAGACCCCTGCCTCTTGGCTGTGTCCTCCATACACAGCTCTACATGCATATTCCTCCAGGAAAATATAAAGCTTACTAATCGTTAAACCCAGGTTCCTTCTAGGATTTCCTCTTTTGTTCAAATATTCAAAATTTTCCTAACCACAGTCTTTTTCTTTGATCCGGAATTCAAAGCAGCTATGATTATGGCTGTCCTGTAGTGCATTTTCTATATTTTATTTTGAAATAATTTCAATTTACAGAAAAAATACAAAGATTGTATAGGCAATTTCCGTATCTTTTTTAACTAGTTTCCCCGGGACTCTTTAATCAAAACTAAGGTACTAACATTGGAACAATATTATTATTCTTTTAGTGACAAATAAAAATTGCATATAGTTATGGTGTACCACACATTTTGGCATATTCACACATGGTAGAGTAGCTACACCATGTAATTAATATATATATATATATAGCTAATCATATAACATATATATAGTTAACACATATAATTAACGTATTACAACAACACTAACTCTTTTGTGGTAAGAAGACTTAAAATCTGCTCTCAGCAACAGTCTCATGATGGGATAATCACTTTTAGGAGTTCAGTAGAACGGTGTTATTAACAAGGCCTCAAATTATTTTGATTGCTTGAGTTTTCCACTCAATCCTTTTTTCTATTCCAGGATCTACTCCAGGATCCTACATTAAATGCCATCATCCTGTCTCCTTAGAGGCCTCCAGCCTGTGACATATTCTCAGCCTTTGCTTTTCATGAGAAGGTAGGTTATCACTCAGTGCCTTCCTGCCTAGTCCCACAGTCTGTTGGACTTTCTGATATAATTTTTGCTCTGAGACTTCTGAGACTTAACTGACAATCCTGACTAACATTCCTGCTGCAACAGCTCCTGATTTTGTAGCTAGTTTTTAAAATGTCAGAAATTAAGTATTGTTGATTCTTTTATGTTAAAAATTTCTATATTTGATATTTTAAATGACTCACTTAAACCACTGAAAAACTATTAACTTTCCTGTGTTCTAGCTCCTACTAGTTAGTATTGTAGTGGCACCCCCTTCTCCACAGAAAATCTTAACTAAACTTCTCCAGGAATCTTCACCATAATTGATTTTAGAACTATCAGCAAAAGAGTCTCTACAAAAGAGTTCAATATAGGTAAACTTCCTATTTTCCTGTTCTTCTTTTTTACCTGGCCACTGGCCTGGAAGAGATCAGCACTCCAGGTGCTGAACACCCCTTTTCCTAGTTTCTCACAAATATTTATCCAGTATAGTAGTTTGAAAAGTGTGTTTGCAAATGCAAAATGAGATTAAAAAAAAAAAAAAAAGACAAATTCTTTAACACGGCTTCCGGCCTTGAGCTGGAGCTTTACAGAGATGTCTACATTTCTAAGATAAGAGAAATTACCAGTTGGCCTCCATGGTAACAGGGGTGGGTGGAGGGGGGCAGAGAGCTCTCCCCTTCTCCGGTGTTGTCCTTGAAGGGTTAACTTGCCCAAAACAGTGAAGGAAAAATCTGCTTTTTCTTTTTTTTAAAATAAAGGTTGATGGACCTTTATTTTATTCATGTAATTATATGCAGTGCTGAGAGTCAAACCCAGTGGCTCGTACATGCGAGGCAAGCGCTCTACCACTGAGCCACAACCCCAGCCCAGAAAAAGCTGCTTTATGTGAACTTCTGCAGTCTGTGAACTTCTGAGCCCCTCCACTTCCATGCTGGGTATAAAGTTCTGAAAGTACCTGACCTCAGGGTTCAGGGAATTAATTGATTATAGCGAAAACTGTACCCTCTGAACCTGGCTGCAGCCAAATAAAACTGTTTCCTGCTATCTTTGGTGCCTTGCCTCATCTGTCCCTACAACAGTATTAAAGTTCTCAAGAACATATTAATGATACAATTCTTTTTTTTTCATGTCACCATCTTTTTGACCTTTTCATTCCCTCTGGAAACCAGGAAACATAATTAATATGGGAACCCATGTAGAGAAGCACAGCCAAATGAAAAATATCAGCATGTTTCCCACATGTAACCCTGGGTCCAGCCTCTCCCTCAAGAGCAGCCCCATCCCTGCAGGCCAGCTTTCAACATCTGCACTGGATCGACCTTGAACATTTCATATCCTTTAACCGTGGGGAGGAGGTGCTGCTAATATACAAATGAAGCTACTTGATCACCTGGGTTCCCAGATAAAGTAATGAAACTTCAGAATGCCCCCTGCCATAAGGCAATCATGTCAGCAGGAATATACTCACAGATAAACCCCAGATTCCTGCAGGCCATGACACTGTGCTGATGGTCCTCTACATATGCTCACTGTCCACAGTACTGGGGTGGATGGTGCTTTTTCTAAAATTTAATGAAGTGTTGAAGAGAAAGAATGGGGAATATACAAACTCTAACTTTGGGAATACTAGGGAGCTTGAGACAGCATGTGAGACCACCCCGCCCAACAAAAAAACAAACCAAAACACTAATTAGAAGGGCTGGACTTGAGGGCAGCCCCCTACTAACTAACATGGATAGATTGTTTAGGGGTAGGGAAGGCTGAGGTAGGAGGATCACAGGTTCAAGGCCAACCTCAGCAACTTAGCAAGACCCCGTCTCAAAATTAAAAAAAAAAAAAAGAGAGAGAGAGAACTAGGGATATAACACCAATAGTTCTTAAAACTGATCAGCCTGCATTATCAAACACAGCAAATTTTTGGTAAAGAACACAAAGGAACCCATAGCCCCTGAAATGAAGCCCAGCAGTTCTCAATTACCATTTCATAGTGACTAATCCTGAACCCACAAGAAAGGTGACCCTTGCCACAGCTCTCCCACTGCTGACAGCATAGACTGCTTTTCCATTGCCCCCTCCTCTCCAGCCTCAGCCCCTTCACAGAAAACTTAGCTAAATAAATAAAATTCTTAAAAAAAGCAGCAACAACAAAAACCTCACTATTTATACAAATAAAAAACATATTCTGAAGCACCAAAAGCTCCATCAAGGCCCATCACCTACCCTCAACCCCAGTTATTCTCAAGAATAATATTCCCAGTTGTACACAGCAAGGTCCTAACATCTGGGAAGCCACCAGCCACAAAAACATCCATTCCCCTATAAGAAAAGTGGGATACTTTTTTGTTTGTTTTGTTTTTGTTTTTTAGGATTGGGATGAAGATCCAATAAGAAGATGTGTGAAGTGCCTGGTAATTCCCCTCCACACGTTAGAAGTCAATCAGGCTGCCTGGGGCAGGTATTGCTGCCCTCACGGCAATTACAGC